ATGCTCTGTATCAAATCTGAAAAATTCCAGATCTCTAAGCCTTCCAATACATCAGTAGTAATGAAAGTAGTAGTAATTTCAGTAGTAATGAAAGTAGTAAAACTGAATAAGTAGATGTAGTCTTTGGCACAGAAATGAATGAAAAAATTCGATAGTGCTTTTGTTTATTGCTGCTTGAATAGTCACTTTTGCTTTTTTTATTCTATAGGGCTGGCTAAACCATAGAAATGCACAAGAACTACTTTCTATCCCAAAACCAGGCAAATACAACTTAGTAAGGTTTTTAGAAAGACAATTAAGGTAAATAGATTAAATAATTGATTTATTTTTAATTGCATACCCCCCACATTTACTAATAACTCAAATTTCTCGGAGCTTTAAGTTCATAAAAGTATAGATTGTCTATGAAAAGGTTGGAAAATTGTGAATATACTTTATTTTTATTGTGATTATTTTACTTTCTTTTCCCTTTAGGAGGATTTTTTTGAACACTCAAGTTTGTAGGTTTTTCTTTATAATTTAAATAGCAATTTTTAACTGATCTAAAATAATTTTCTTTAATATTTTTAAATTTTTTTTTTTTTAATTAATGCACATGACTTTCAACAACCTAATTTGGAACTAGATGGTCTTTAAAATTCCCTTCCAGCCCAAACCATTCTATGACTGCATGATTCTAATCTTAGGAAAATAAAGTCTTTAGCATCTGTGGGTTTTACCTGGGTTGAAAGCAGTGCTCCTAAGGTGTTACCTGCTGTGACATTTGCCATCATTGCTGAATACTTGTCACTCTTGAAGGAGAAGGATGGGTTGGGGAAAGTGAATGTGGGTCCCCTTGAATCACTAAATGATTTCACTAGATGAAATAAGGAGCAATTGCCTTTGGACAGTGAATCAGTAACATGTTGAATACAGAAGCATTGGGGAGCTCCTGTTTCACCAACCTGCCTTGCAGCTCTGTGGGACTTATGTGCTCTGCTGGTACCCTGCCCTGAGTACTTGCTGTACAGGCTCACTCTGCACAGGAGACGTAGACACACTCCTGGGAAAGTGCAGTTCTCAAGTAGTTCTGAATCATTGTGAGTATTTTGTTGTGATGACAGTAGCACCCCACACAGCTCCACTCCAGAACACGCCCGGCATGACAGGAAGCTGTTAAGCCATAAACAGCTGTCCTGTGGTTGATGTGAGTGGCCCTGAGGCAAGATATCTGTTGCCTGATGCAGGCAATACAACTGCACATGAAGTTAAAAGAATAACTATGGGACTGTGCTGGCCATGGCCCTTCATCTCGAGACAGCTGTCATGATATGTGTGCCTGTGTAGGTGAGACTTGAAAGCAGGTAGTGATACACCACAGGATCCTTTTGCAAAATGTAGGGTGGATGTGGCCATTGTGCTCCAAAGTGGAGAGATCAAGCTTGATCCAAGGGAAAATGGAGAATGAAAAATACTGGGTTTTGCTCTGTACTCTGGGGTCTACCTCTGCATTTTATTAAAAAGAACCTGAGCAGCCAGAATACCATCCTGAAATGTGCAAGAATTAGACTCAAACCTTCTTTAACTGTGAAATGTTTAGATTCTGGCTTTTCCATGTCCTTGATCAGTGCTCTAATAAAGCTTTAGAGCACAAAGTGTCTATATTACCCAAATGCAAAAGGAGGTCCTTCTTATTAAGGTTTTCTTTAATATTCTTTTTTCTGAAGGTATAGGGAATGTTGGTAGAAGCAGAACAGTGTATCTTTTGCTATCATCTGTTCTTCAGGGATGAAGTAATAAAAATGTCAAACACAAGACAAATGTTGATTAAAATATAGGTAAGGTGTAGCGAGGAACAAGGAATAAAAGAAACCTGTCATCAAGAAATTGCTTTTAAGAATTATGAACAAGAATTAGAATCTGATTTGAGCAGGGAGCCTAAGAGTAGTGCCCCTGTAAATTTCATATGCATTGATGCTTTTCCATAAATGATAGTTTTCAAGAAATGTGGCATGGGTCTGCTGTACTGCCCAGCTTTTAGTGAGAATCTTAGCCTAATGGGCATTCCAAAATCTGATGTAATGAAAACAATGTGTGTTCATAGTAATTCCAGGATACAGATTGTATAGGAACAGTAAAGTAGCTAGATATGATTTTAAAAAGAGGTTACTGTTAAGTAAATAACAATAAGATTGTTGCCTGCTGAACTTAATAACACCTTCAGTCCACACAGAAACATTGACTGAAACACTGTTCCTGCACAGGGAGTACCTTAGAGTGCTACCCAACGACTTCGTTCGAGGTTGACAGAGGAGTGCTAAGAAATACCAGAAACAGTAAGAGAATAAAATTTCCTAAGCGAGTGACATCAGTCATTTTTGTGGAAACTGGAGGAGTGTTACTTCAGGGTGATGCGAAAACTAAATTTGTATACACTGCAAATGACTGTTGCTTGGAGCAAGTAATCACAGACCCCATAGGAAGAGATAGAACTCATGGTCCCTTTTCAAGCAGCAGCTCAGAAAGTTGCTTTTCAGTAGTGACTCAAGTTGAACACCAAAAAAAAAAAAAAAAAAAGCTGTGCTAATGTGTAAGTAAGAAACAAAATTAAAAGGAGCAGTTGAGAAGGTAGAAGATTTCCAGGCACAAGGAGCTGCTTTAAAAGTAGTGTAGGGAAAACTCAGAACAATGCATATATCCAATATCCCCCAAAATGGCACCTGTAAGAAACTATTTTTTTTGCAGGTCCCAACACAATATTTTTGAGAAAGGTCAGTACCATCCATTTTTAACCAAAGACAAGAAGGAAGCCTTCTAAAAAGTCCGTGGAGCTGACTAGTAATGGAGATATGAAAGGACACCTTTTGCTCAAGGAGTCCAATAGCACAGTAAAAAATGAAGTGTGTGCTTGTTTACAGTGGAGTTCAGTACAGGGAAACATACTGAAGGGTGAGTTGGAGAAGTTGTCTCAGTTTTCATTTTAAAACACATACTCCAAAAACATAACACTAATATTGGAAACTCTAATCAAACAGTATCTTACAGGGTTTACTGTAAACTGCAATTGAAATTGAAGTTGCCAAGCTATCAGCTGTGATGTGTGCTGAATTTACCTGCTTGCTGTAGACTTACTGGTAAATGATGCAATAAGGAGAGACAAAATGGTATTTGTTAGAAAATCCTTGACCTGCTTGCTCCTGAATATTGTGTGCAGGACCCATATCTATCAAAAGGCTGTAGTAAAAATGAAGAGGTATATTATTTATCTTAGGAAAAATAGGGGAGGTATGCTGGAAAAAAATACAATTGTGACTATTTGGCAATGGTGAGATGAGAACGGATATTTTGTATTTTTTTAAAGCAAGAACCCGACTGAACTATTTGGAAGCAGTTTTAAAATCAAAATGGAGTAGGATATTTAACTTATTTTTCCTAAGCATCTGTTACTGATCCTTTTAGTCACAGGAGAGTGGACTGGGCAGATATTCCATTTGGTGTATTTTTTTGTGTAGACGTGTCATGTCCCACTCCTACACGGAAGGGAACACCCAAGATTCAGAGATGTCTGTGATCAAAGTTTTTCTGGACCTTTCTGGTAATGGGTCAGGGGGCTTTGAGGGTCATTTGGTGGTCTCGATCCCCCTCTACTGGATTGAGCCTCAGTCAGCAGTTCAGGTCACTTGACCTCACCTTTGTGCTTGCGCAGTCCTTTATGTTGTGTGGTCGCCATGGACCAGAATAGGGAAGTGGGCACAGGAAAGTGCTGCCCTACCTCCACATGGCCCCCCTTTCCAGCCACATTGTATTCTAACTTACCTTCGTGAGTGGTCATAAATGTTTGAGGTGTAGCAATGCGTTAACTTCTTACTGTCCAGGCTTCTACAAGATGACAAAATTTAACTGATATTTTTAAACCAAAATAATTAAATTACATTGTGTTCAGTACTGTGATTGATACTGCTGATCTTCAAGAAATAAAGCCTTATTGGAAAATTGACAAAGTGGACTCACAGGAGTATCTAAAATACAAGTATAGTAGATACATTGGCAGAGTAGACATTGTATTTTATGTGTTATTAAAAAAAGTATTGGTAATGCCAGATCCTAGCAGATGGTGTTAATTGTATGTTCCTTACTGTAATGGATATAAAAAGTTTTGCAAGAGCACTGATTAGCTGGGTTCTGGCACTGTCCTACTGAGAGATATCTCTCAGTTGTAGGCAAGCTCTCTCTGTGGAGGACTAACTCCCTGTTCCCCTTGGGTGTAACATGGTCTGTATGAAACAGAGAGTGTGTTTTTGGAATATTTGTTCCTTGTCGTGGAACTATGAATTGTAACAACCAGAGAGACATCCTTGGGAATTTTGTTATGCTAACAGGTGTTGTGAGGTGTTGTGACTCACTCCTACACTGCTTTCAGAGCTGGTAGTGGTGTAAAAACATGTATACTTCCTGAGAACCTTGAAAATCCAAAAGCTTGAGATTGACCAAGATGCTTCTATTGATATAATTAGATAATAAGTGAAATAAGTTCAAGGCACAGATTTCAGTGGTAAAAGAATCTGTTTTTCGTGCTGAGGAAAAAGAAGAAACCAACCTTCCAAAACCACCCACCTTGGCAAAGCTGTTTTTCTTTTTATTCAATGTATTAGAAAACCAGGAAAATAAGTAGGCTTAAAAATGCATTTGAATTCCAGTGAACCTTCCTGGTGCATTGCTCTAGAAACAAAATTCCCATTAATATATAGAATTTATAGAAAGGAAATTGGTTAAAACTGATCTAAGGCTGACGTGATCCAGAAGGAAGAGGGTTTTATTGCGATTGTCAGAAATCCACATTTCCTATTTTTCACTACAGAACATAAGAAATGGGTTGAACATGCTTTATATTTCCCACAACTAGCAATTTTCTGTCTTTGGAAAGTTTTAGAAGGAGGAGCTCAGAGGTGCTGTGGGAGGGGCTAAAGTTCATATTAAAGTTTTGGCACGAGAGGGAGAATTGTCAGAGTAGAAGGCTTCTTCTGAGGTTTCAATTTAAGATGATCAGTATTTATGTTCAGATTCTTCTAATAATTCTGTTTTGGAGTGCTGATTCTCACATTATTCCCAGGATTGAAGAATGTGGACTTTCATGTTCCCAGGTAATCTCTTACTTTTTCCAATTCACTATCAATTAATATGGTAGTTGTATGCTGCCAAAATAATTATAGGAAAAGGAAGAAAGCAAAAATGGAAAATATTTCAGCTGTCCTTAACATTCATTTTATATTCCTGTCATTCTGAATGAAGTGTCCAAAGTGGCAAAGGTGACTGAGGAAGAGTGTAAGAAAATGCATCTTACACTATTTCCAACTGCTGCTTTTAGTACCTTTAAAATCTGTATTTTGTATTTGAAAAAAAAATTATTTTGTTCATATTCATTACTTTACACGGTCAATTTTTACAACACCAGTGATGACAAAAAGATGCGGAGAGAGGAATGGGAGGTTTCAGGAATTGCTAATTGTGTCAGGAATATATGAAACATTGACTTTCCTGTGAATAAATGAATTAAGCATGAGAAAAAATAAAACCTGTTTTTCATTTTGTGGGATGAATTGACTTCACTATTAAATTTAATGACTTCTGTATGTGCTTGAAAGTAGAGTGTGAACCACACCATCTCTTTACTAGCTTTGGATTTTGTATAATTCCAAATATCCCCGCAAAGGGGCAGTATGGAGATATTCTGCTTCTCTTGGCATTCTGAAATTGTAAGCATAGAGTAAACGGAAAGATAATTTTTAAAAAAAGTGTTAAATAATAGGGAATCTGACTTTCAGTCTTAGTGGAGGTTGATAACTGTCTTCTTGCTGCAGAGAAGTGGAACTGATGGCGTGAAAGAATTTGGCTGTCTGTACAAACATCTGCTTGAAGATGTCAGTGTTTAAGACAAACAGTGAGACATTCTAAAGACTGTCTAAATGTGGTGGTACTACCCAGATATTAAGTTAGTTCATGTTACAGCAATTTATTCTGTGTTTTATACGTGTATCTAGGAAAACAGTAGGAATAAAGATGCTTATAAAATACTAGATTGAGCAAAAAAACCCACCCCCCTGTATTTAAATATTCCTATATTATAGTTATTATTCCTGAATTCAAATTCTGCACTCTCTATCCACTGAGATAAAGTTTTTAGAATGATAAAATATAGTCATAAGAGATTAATCTGTAGATCTATCTAAACACTTTTCAAGAATGTTTATGTAATATACTTATGAATGTAAATACATATGTATTTTAAATAATTTATGCTCCTTTGTCTTCTGCAATGAGAGTTGAAAATTATTTAGCATTCTAAGTTATCCCTCCAAAGAGTGTAGGACTATCAGACTCAGCATGTAAAAATCAGTATCAACCTTTTTGGTGAGTTTTAGTCTAGTGGATAGGATTTATCACTGGGGACCTTAAAGGGTATCTTTCTCTGTCATAGCTTAGGTATGTATGTTAAAAAGACTGATTCACTAGTTGCCTAAGATATAGACACAGCCCCGAGGTTTGGCAGAGTGGATGCCTTCCTTTTCCTTCAGGAATCTGTCACACCTTTTCCTGTACAGAAGGTTGGATAACTGAGAAAGGTATAATTTTTTTTCTTATTTACAGAGGAAATACATTGTTTCCAGCATAATGAAATCAATCAATCCATTCATCAATCATTTTTGATAGAAACAGGATTCAGTTCATGTTCTCTATGTGCTGTTTCTGCTAGTTGTATGCAATAGAATCTTGAATGCATTAATGACTTTTTAAGACAAAAATGTTTTCTCAGTGGGAAGAATAATGATCTCAACAGGATAAATTACTACCATAACATTTTCAATCTAGTGCAAAGCATTTTAGCTACATGAACTTCAGAGTCTCATGACTAGCTTGTTAGACAAAACTTCTCCCTTTTCCTTTGAAAGTAACTTCAATTTTCCTACATAACTGACTACTATTTGTGGGCTCAATCCCATTCCTACAAGAGTTATTTTAAAAGGGATCAGTCAATCTTCATAATTTATAACTCAGTGGTCTTCATTGGGGCACTAAGCGGGGGTTACAATTCTTTGTCTGTCTGTCTGTTGGTCTTTGTCTGTGTGCAATATGTGTGTCCTGACTTCTCCTATAGCATGTGAGATCACAAAGTGGAGAATTGACGACTTTTTTCCAGCAATTTGCCTAATGTGATATTTAGATCTTGTAGTTTTAAAACTATCATAAGTTTTCTGTAACTGCTATTGTTAGAAGTATTATAGAAAATTGGTTTTTTTTCTTTATGGAGTCTCTCCAAAAGTTTATACAGTAAATTTCTCTTCTGCAGATAAACTTGAGGCTGTGTTGTTCTCCATAAAGCAATAGGGGGATGAAAAGCAATTAATTTGGTTTTGAGCAAGTTTAATATCTGAAACTGTTGAGTCCGACTGACAGACTAGATTTTAAGGTGGCTGTGTCCACTGGATATTTGTGAGCAGTTTTGACCTCCTTGGGTACTAAACAGACTAAAGCACTGGTTGTACTTCAGAGGAAAATAGTGACAACTGTTTTGAGGTATCTGACTTGAAAAACCTTTGCAACGAAGTGTTTGGATTCTGGATCTTATTACAAGTTTATGAACATTCTTAGTTTACCATGAGTATTCAGGAAGACATCCTTGAATTGCCTTTTATAAGTAAATATCCAGGTGTCATTACTGTACCAGAAACTGTACATCTGTTTAGTACAGGAAAGGAAAAACTGAAAGAATATTGGATGTTTATGCCAATATTGTATGAAAATTTAAACAGTATGAAAACATACAGTTGTGGGTTGTGTGATGGCAAAGGAACAATTAAGCTTCTATTATGTATTATGATTTATTTCTCCTTCCATATTTTAATGACTTGGCTTTAGAGATCACGTGATAATCTAGTATTCAGAGGTTAAATTATATGGGCATGGTCTCCATGCCCCACCCAATAGCAAACACAGTTATCAACCGAGTTTCCCTGTAAAAGCATAGGGGAATCCCAGCCTGCAATTGAATTGGGTTTGTGCTCTACTCCTTTTACAATCCACATTGTTTGCAGGCTGTACACAAAGAAACAGGCTTATGCCAAATTTGACTGAACAGCTGGTAAAGATCAAGAGCACTACATCTCAAAAACACTCCCTAGAACACTGTGAAATAGTACTGGTATTGTCTACCTCTGTACGTAACAGTATTTCCAAAATTTGTAGATAAACAAGGAAACCCTAAACCAAATTTAGGATTTCCCTGTAATTATAAAGGTTATTGGCAGCAAATTCTTGATATAGCTACTGCTTGTTCATGCTATTTATAATTGAAATATGTGGTGTTTCTTTACTGGATATTTATGCCATGTCCATTCTTGCTGAATACTGCACACTTCAAAACCAGTGATTTAGTATGGCCCTTAGACCACTAAGTCAGCTGACATAAACTGATATTCTTTTTTCATTATTAAGCAATTCATATTTTAAAAGTGATCCAAAGCCTCTAAAAAATGGACATGATAATCCACGTGACATAATTCAGTTGTTCTCTAAAATCTGATTGAAAAACTAATTTTGGACATGGAAAATGTCTAAAGAGACTGAACAGAGACCTGTCTCACTTAAAGTGAATGAGAGAGACTGAGTGCAAAGTCCCAGCACAGGAAGATGATTCAACACAAACTTTTTTGTGTATGCATTGATATACCTGATGGCTGAAGGAGATGCATAAAAATATAAAACATACCCTCTGTAATATTTGCTGAGGTGCAGTAAAATCCACAAGAGCATGCCCTAAATAAAAAGCCTGGGGTTTGCCTCCCTGCCTGTCATTGACTCAGTTGTGTGGCCCTCTTCAAGTAATTTATTTTCTCTGGTTTTCACAAGTACAAAATAGTGCTGACCTTCCTGTGTGATGTGTCTTAATTATGTGTTTTAATTAACTGCTTTGAATACTATAATTAAGATTTAAGTACTCATTAGTCAAAACAGTCTAAGGGGCTCAATCATGTTGAGTCACTGTATTAGGTTGATAGTAACCCATTTGCTTAGATATCCTTGCTTGCTTTCTCTGCTGGTAGTTAAGAGAGATGCAGTTTAGCAAGTTTGGGTGGCTTATCTCTTGGACTGTGTTTCACATTTGCTCTTAGGATCAAAAATAGCTTGGCAGTGACATGAGACCCTTAGCTTCCTGTTGTGTCCTATGCTAGTGCTTGGGTGCTGTCCCATTGCCTCACCTCCTGAAAGGGAAACAACCAGTGACAAGTACAAACAGCGACTTAAAAAACTCTTCAGTGTTTGTCATTGTTACAGCACCTTCTTATAAGAAAGGCGAAGGTGGAGAGAGCTCTGCAATTCAGAACTAGCAAAAAATACAAAGCCCTTGTGTTTTTTCTTTCTCATTTCTCTCTTCTTCAGATTACAAGGCCTGGAAAGAAACTAGGCATTGGAATAGCAAGAAGGGAATACAAGCACTCGTGAAAGCTGGTGTCACAGTATTTATTAACAGGTGTTGGAAGTGGACCTGACGAGGTGTCCTGAAACTGAAACTCAAGGCAGTGTTAGAAGATTCAGGAGACATCAGCATAAGTTATGTGCAGTCAGTACCCATAGCAGGAGGCACATTTAAGAAAACCAAAAAGGGATATATAAGCAAACTCAGCGGGAGATGGGATTAGCTGACCTTTACTATTGGCAGTGAATTTTAGGTCACAAATCTCTCTCAGCCCTGATCTTAGGGATCGTCATCTCTGGACCCAAAATTAAGTGGTTAGTATTGAGATTTGGAAGGAGGTGCTGTCCACAGCTGTCTGACTGCTTTGCAGTTGGAAAGCTAGTTGTAATTGGATCAAATCTGGGCAAGACTGATTTTTTAGGAGTTGTAACAACTTTATGTAACACCATAAATGTTGTGACCTATCTGCAATTCTTGCACTAAGATCTAGGAATAGCTTAATTTGTACATTTGTTGGAGCTGGCAATATTAAATTGTCATGTCTGTTTATACTGTCCCATTCTTCCTCTCCTGCCAGAATGCCTGTGCATGATCATCTCCCTTGAGAACCAGAGATGATCAAAAATGAGGAAGACCAAAAAGAGGTTTAAAAGACTTCTTTCTAGGGAT